TGATTTAATTTCGTGTGTTTATCTGATAAATAAATTGCACTTAAAAATGTTATATTTAAAAAATTTCGTCGGGTAAGAAGTGCTCATAATTGTTACAACAGAAACACATTTACGGGTAAACCTCCCATCAGAGCAAGTGGTTTTATTTCTACAAGAGTTTACAATGTTTTATAGTTAACAATTTACTTGTTCATATTTACACTTTTACCGAGTACCCGGGTACTCGATTGGAAAAACGTCCGAGTAACCGAGTATTAAAAATTGACCGATTTGACATTCCTAATAAAAAGTTATGTACTTAAAATACAAATGCAACTTTTCTATAACAATATTATAAGTTGAAGGTGGTAGAGCTACATTCTCATCAGAGACCTCTGGTTTTTATACGCCCGTCTTAAGACGGGACGTATTATGTTATAGGCTTCGTGTCCGTCCGTCTGTCCGTCTGTCCGTCTGTCTGTCTGTTAGCTTTTCGTTTCCGGCTCATAACTTTAAAACTATTAGGCCTAGGATTATCAAACTTTGTCATCTGATGCATCTTGGGTAGAAGGTGTGTCGCGCACAAAAAGTAGGTCGCTCTGACCTTTAATTAAGAAGATATAGCCAAATATGGAAAAATCCTTTCCGGCCCATAACTAGAAAACTATAAGACTTACGATCATCAAACTTGGCCAGTTTATGCATCTTAGGTAGAAGGTGTGTCGCGACCTATTTCAAGGTCACTGTGACCTTTGATTTAAATGAAATTTTAAAAAAAAATGTGTCTTTTTACTATTCATTTACACATTCCAAATAAAGTAAGAGTATTGCACTGTCCTTATTAAAAAAGTGTTAAATCAAGAAAATACTTATTTTTTTTAAAGCATATACTTGACAGCAATCTATAACAAATATTATTATGTTAAAGAAATCCTACCTCTCCCATGAGTGTAATTATCAAGCACTGGTCAAGACTCAAGAAGAATTTTGATAACAGAAAATTGCATGTCAAATTAGAGAGAAATTAATGAGTTTTGAGTGTGAGGAGTTCGCTAATAGCTAGAGCATGGTGTTATCTATATCCCTTGAGTATTGGGCAAATGTGTGAGCCTGTTGGATTAACCCTAGTAATGCTATATATAATACAAAGTGAAAAGGCTGTGAGCTGAATATTTTTGCCTAGTTTTGAAAGAAAAAGAGGTGGTTTGTTTAAATCAAATTTATTTAGTAACAATAATAGTAATATAGACATATTATACATCAAAATGTTCAGCAGACTTTTAGCTTCTATTTCAAACATGTTATAATACAATATATTTGTATATATACAGCTGTACAGGTAATCTCCAGGTAGATACAGGTAAAAACATAAAAAAATAGATTTTAAAAGAGAAATATTATTTTTTAAATCAAATCAATCAATATTTTTTATGAGAAATTAATAAATTAATAATTAATTGAAAATTTTCTGCATTCAATTACAGAACAGGTATGTATTTTTCAACAGGTATAAATCCATTTCAACAACCAATGAAAACGACTGAATAACTTTAAATATGCAGCTAATTAAATACATATAAATAAATAAATAAATATCTTATAAGTTAATAACATATAACATGAATAATACAATAAATACATAATATGTCATGATAAATAGATTTGGATTTGGATTTAATGTATCCACACATAATTTTCACACCTAACAGGTAATAATTATATACATGTATATATATTTAGGTAACCTTCAGGTAAATACAGGTAAAAACATAAAGAAATAGATTTTAGAAGAGAAATATCATTTTTTAAATCAAATTAATCGATATTTCATTAGAAATTTATAAACTGATTAATTACAGATAAATAAATAAATAAATAAATAAATAAATAAATAAATAAATAAACAAATAAATAAATAAATAAATAAATAATTTATAACAGATAACATGAATAATACAATGAACACATAAAATGTCTTAAGAAAAAGGACAGGAAAGGAATCTAGTTATCAATGTGCCTTGTGCATTGATCCCTGTTTCAAACTTTAAATAACTTATAACAGATAACATGAATAATACAATGAACACATAAAATGTCATAATAAATAAATTCTTTGGATGGATTTGTATCCGCACATAATTTTCACATCTGAACTGAAATCTACTCGTCGACCATCACACGCATCTTGTATGCAGCTATGTAGTCTTTATGTGTGTGAAAAAGTTTGAAGCAGGGGTCAACGCACAAAGCAGTCAGACACTTGTCACACTGATAGCTAGATTCCTTTCCTGCTCTTTTCCTTTTTTCACCAATTGATTCGAGCCTCTGCCTCTCTGCCACCGAGCACACGACACAAGCACGGGTAATGTTTTTCTTTAAGCCTGTTCCAACGATCTTCATGGGGAAGTGCTGCCCCTGCAGTCTCATGATGGGTTCTGCTGCAGTGCTAGGCCTCCCCACAGGCTTTGTACACATTCCTGGGACACATGCTCTATTAATGGACTGCACAAGTTCACAAGTTGTTTCGGAAAACTCTGTGAAGCATAGGTTTCCTTGGAGTTAGGGTCTTGTAGCACAGGTAAGCATTCAAAGTAGCTAGAGAAATCACATGGAAAATCACGCGCTTCCACCACTTCAGGGTCCTGGCATTGAAAGTGGCGTAAGAAACCATTTGATCAGACCGATCTACGCCTCCCATATACTTGTTGTACGCATTAACGATAGCAGGATTTTCGATGGGTGTTCCTGTTCGTGGTGCCACTCTTCCACAGGGGGCTTTTGCAGCTTCCTCGATGGTAGATAACAGGTAAACAACTTTACGGTCATGGTACTTCACAAGAACAAGTTCATCATTGCACATACTGAACATATTACCTTTGTCCACCTTTTTGTCCTTTATCCGCTGCGGAATTCCCTTCCGGTTAACTCGTAATGTTCCAGTGGCACCACACCCGAGCACAAACAAGTCTGTGTAAAGCTGTGGTGAACTATAATAATTGTCCATGTACAAAATGTAACCTTGTCCAAAGTATCCTCGCATCATGTCCATAACTAAGTCGTATGTAGCCCCATTTGCACTAGCAGGTGTCTCTGATTTCCCAGTATAAAGTTTGAAACGTAAACAATACCCAGTCACTGCATCACACAACATGTAGGCCTTGATCCCATACTTCTTGGGTTTGTCTGGATTGTACACACGAAAAGACAGATTTCCTCGCCACGGTACCATCCCTTCATCCAAAGACAGATGTTGGTGTGGACGAAACACAGTCCCGAATGAAGAAATAATGTTTTTGTAAAGGGATCCGAGTTTGTATAGAGGGTTGTAACCCGCGTTTCCTCGACGTACCTGTGCGCTGTTATCTGCCAAATGAAAGAAGCACATGAGGAGCCAAAACCTGTCCCTTGGCATTAATGACGGAAAAAACGGTGTGGTATTCACCTCCGATGTCGTCCAATACTCGGAAATGTCCAGCTGAACTACTAAACCCATCGCAATCGTAATTGCGATAAACACCTTCATTTCATCCAGTGTGGTTTTGACCCAGTTACGAAATCGGGAAGAAGGCTTGAGGTTTCCCTCATTTCGTTGTAATACTGCTCCGCATAGCGATTAGTTTCGTCTGCCATAGTCTGGAAATCATCATCCTTGATGAATAGGTTGAAAAAATCAAGTGGCGAACGCTGATCATCTGGCATTTCAACATTTAGTCCAGGGACGCCTGTGAAGCCCATGTCAGTGCGAGGTCGGTCACCATCTTGCCAGTTTGCCATGAAATTATTCGGATTTTCGTTGACTTCTTCATCGGAACTGTCGGCCAGATCATCAGACTTAAATCCCTCAAACTCTTCGTCACTTTCATCGTCGTTAAATAATTCGTTGAAGAAGTTTTCATGTTGTGGTAAGAACGCCGCCATTTTGGGTCACCCATAAATAAACTCGCAACTACACACTTGTTTTAAATAACAACCAATCAGATTTTAGCTACGTCACTGAGCTAGTTTTAACCCCAAACGTATTACCAAATAAGGAAAAGGTTTTTATTAGACTTTATTTCCATTGGATGTTTAAAAATACGTTATAAAAATATGCTAATGAACAATATGTCGTAACCCGGAATATTCCGGGTTCAGCTCACAGCACATGCATTCGAAACCCGGAATATTCCGGGTTCAGCATTACCAGGGTTAAAAATAGCTCTTGCTGGCTAGCCTAAGTTTTAAAATAAATTTAATGAAAAGTAATTAAAACTAATTTAATATTGCATAGTAGAATAATCTTATATTATATAAAATTGTTAATTTATAAAAACTAATTTTATGGGATTGGGGTGGAATCAGCATGTCCATATGAATTTTATATTAAAACCTGTCGGACATTAAATGTCAACCAAAAAAAAATCTTTGAGTATTTCATATGTTTTTTGAAAAAGTTATGGTAGATAGTGCAGACCCATTCATCTATTGGTATTAATGAGTAGACAAGCATCCAGTTAAAGATTAATTAATGAGTTCAGGCTAGCTGTCTTAATCACTCTGATCAAGCTGTATGATGACCTTTGGGAATTAGAACAGAAGAACTGTTGGCTAGTTTACAGCATATGTCATTTGATGGCCAGCCTTTTCTTTTCAAAATTAATTTGATATAGATTAATTTGTTAAGACTAATTTGATATTGTTTAATATGATGGGCATTTGACAAACACAACCAGCATAGAAATCCATCAATGATGTAATATTTGTTATAACTAATGCTTACATCACAGGGGATGGATAAATATTTTTTAATTTTTGGAAAAATCATGGAAATTTAGAATCAGGGTTGACGTGATTGCAAGCTAAACTGTTGAAGAAAATTGTAATTTTTGACGGGCGTATCATGCTGTGGCGCGGCACTTTATTTATTTAATTTCTGCAGTACTTTGTTGTTTTTACCTATCATGACCTTCACATCTTAAGCCTAAACTTGTTAATCAGATGTGGCCCATTATAAACTTGTTTCTATGGAATTTTTATTTCAGCTCCATCGTGTGTTTGACGAGCTGGATGTGACTAAGAACTACACTGGACAGGTCCTGCTGCTAGAAGAGGATTACTACGTAGCACCTGATATAATCACAACGCTACAAATGACACTAAATCTCAAGAAAAAGTGAGCACTTTTCTCTCTCTCCTAGATTTGTACATTTATTATAGGTACTTTGTAACACCTGATATTATCACGACTATTATAAATGATGATTTCAAGAAAAAGTATGAATTTATTTATTTCTCTTGTATTTGTACTTTATTATAAGATATGTATACATAGCTAAAAAGATACATGTCCTTTAATTTTTTAATATAGTTCATCTTAAGACTGCCCTCTCCCCTCCCTTAAAAAGACTTTTTTCGTACCCTTGCAGCTGAATGAATTGTGTGTGTTATACAATCTTATTAACTGGATTTTAAAATAATCAGGAGTATGAATTCATTGAGATCCAATTTTATATTACTTTGAAAGACTGAAAATTATGATGAAGTCATCATATATGATGTCTAAGGTCATCAAATGTAATATCAATCGGCTGCCAGGGTTTAAATCTATGAACCTTGATATCAATTAAATTTTAATCTGTCAGACCACTCAAGCATAGTTTCTATTTAAAGATTTCCATTTCTGATTATTTCACCTGTATATTTCAGTGTTCATTCAGATATAAATACAGATAATGTATACCTTAAGAAAGAGTTTTAGGGCTTTCAAACAGATTATAAACAAGTGATACTTTTACAAAAATATGAGGTACCTTGTGGAATTGAATCTAATCAAATATTTATTGAATTTTTCTCCATTGAACAATTTTCCCAATAGAATCAGGATTTCAGCCCGGTAAATGTACTAGATACTGGCAGATTGTATAAGGCCTGATGTTAGAATTTACCTATCATTTGTTTTGATTGATAATTTTGTGATATTTTTTACTGCATATTAAAATTTTTCAAAATTTTTTATTACAGAGAGTGTAAAGATTGTCGTATGATAACTGCAGGGAATTACGACAAAACCCAGGTATTCTCGTCCAATTCAGGCAAGGTGAGATAAAATTAGGATGACTTAGAGGAAGTAAAACAATTTTACTATGTAATAAATTAATAGTACATTGACCTTCAAAACATTAAAATTTCCCTCTCTTATTAACAAACATCACCATGATTTTTAGAAATTAAACCCGTCTTTGCAGTTTACACATAGCAGCTGACTTACTAACTTTAACTTTAGAAAATAGCACAATTGTATTGCTGACCTACAGCACAGAAAATTTTCCATCCATATAAGAACATGACTTGTTGGCCTACAGACTAGAGAACTTCCTTTTTATTTAACAAATGATAAACAGCTGATATTAAGTCAGGAAACTACTCTTTCCAGATAACTTAATGCCCCACAGAAGAGTGATCTATAACAAACGATTTTCTGATCTGCAAAAAGTAAACCTTCGTACTTGCTAACAAATGACTGTTTACAGAAATAAAAACTTCCTTTTCCAGTTAATAATTCACTTGTAACTAGCCTATAAAACAGAAAAATTCAACAAATGCCTTATTTCCTACAGACGGAAAACCTGTTACTTTTAACAAATGTCTTACTGACCTGCTGTATGGAATAGAAAACTTTCCCTGTACAAATGACTCATTGACTAGCAGAAAAAAATTCCCATATTCACTTTTAACAAACAACTTTGAATAGCAGAAAGAAACTCTCCATTCCAGGTAGCAAATGAATAACTGATCCAAGAGACAGAGCTTCCCTGTCAATTTAGAACAGATTTTATGACTTTAAGAAAAAAAGCTTTCTTTACCCATATTTAATAACTGAACCAACCAACAAAACAGACACTTCCTTTCATGGTTAAAATATGAAATTGGGATCATAATGACCTAACCAATCAGCAAATCAGAAAGATCCCTTCATAGTTAACAGTTGACATACTGACCTTAACAACAATATAACCAATCAGCAATACAGACACTTGCTTTCTTAGTTAGCAGGTGACATACTGACCTTAACTATGATTTAACCAATCAGCAATACAGACACTTGCTTTCTTGGTAAACAGTTGACATACTGACCTTAACAATGATTTAACCAATCAGCAGTACAGACACTTGCTTTCTTGGTTAGCAGGTGACATACTGACCTTAACAATGATTTAACCAATCAGCAATACAGACACTTGCTTTTATGGTTAGCAGGTAACATACTGACCTTAACAATGATTTAACCAATCAGCAATACAGACACTTGCTTTTATGGTTAGCAGGTGACATACTGACCTTAACTATGATTTAACCAATCAGCAATACAGACACTTGCTTTCTAGGTTAGTAGGTGACATACTGACCTTAACAATGATTTAACCAATCAGCAGATCAGAAAGTTCCTTTTTTGGTTAGCAGGTGACATACTTCATCTGAACAGCTTTTTTGCAGATAAGAATGACTAACCAACCAGCAAAAGTAAACTTCTTGTCAGTATTATTCGCATAAATTATTTTGAATTTTTTTCTCTCATAGAGTTGATCTTTATCTGTGAAAGGATTCACACATCAGGAGTTGTACTTTCCATACATAGGATTAGTAATTTTATTAATAGATTTGTTAATTTTGTGATAAAATATAGATTAATAGGAGAGACAGTAGACAAGTATGTAATGTGCTGAAATTAATTAGTTTATTTTTCCAGGTTTTGGAGGTAAAACAACTCGGGCATATAACTTATACATGTATCTTTATATTACAAGTGATAAATTCATTTTAAGAAAAAAAACTGTCTTACTGTTATTAGATATATGCACCCTAAGTGTGAAGAAGTTATCGCTGTACTGACTATATTATATACACTTTTCATGAGTTTTATTTTTATGCAAAATTGTTTAAAATCTTTAGACAATCTGTTGAATATTTTTCTTTCTCTAAAATACCTTAATCAAACACACTGTAATTATTTAATCTCAGCCAGGGGGTGTACTTATATTGACTTGCACCTCTTTCCTTGTCAGCATAATTCTTTTACTAGTATTATACATCTATAAACTGAGAGAATGGAAGATTTCATAATCCATGTTATAAATATATAGGTTTCATTATTATTTTAGGAAAAAGGAAAAGATTAAATAAAATAATTTCCATTCTATGTTTCAAAACTGCTATTAAAGGTAATGTTTAACTATCTATCAATTGAACAAATCTCAAAATTAACAAACTACAAAGCAGTAGATGTAACATGATGTACCACTTCCAGAAAAATTATTTCATCTCTGAAAGTTTTCAAACAGTAATCCAGTGAAAATATGATTTGTCATAAGTTTGAAATCAGAAAATTTTTAATGCCTTTTTTTTTTTAAGTTTGAAGATAGCTGGGTAACCAAATTGGGGGGGGGGGGTTGTGTTAATTTGAGCTTTGAACATTGCATTTTATTGTGTCATTAATCACATGTCAGAGATGTGCATACAAGTTGACAACCATGCATTGCAATGTCATGAGAATGTATGTGGCATCTCTTTTTAAGTCACCTGAGTCACTTATGTGACTTGTACAATAAGTTACTGCTATTCGTTTTTTGCCTGTTTTGGTGTGTTGCTTTGGTCATAAACTTTTGAACAGATTCACCTCTTTAGAATACTGAACCAATTTTAGTACACTATATATATCGTATGTGGGTGAGAGAGGGAGAGGGTCATGGAACACACTATTTTTATCATATACTTTTATGCTTCCTTTATCAGGTGACTGTTATGGCCCTTGGGCTTCTTATTATTATTAGGACTTTCAAATATTCTAAAATAAAATATGAGCTGCTTATATTTACATTACATGTACTTCATTCACAAATTACACTCCATGATCATTAAATTTTGGTGTACAGAACTGGTGTTAATAAATATGACCTGTTGGAAAAAATAAAAGTAAAACAATTCTCTTTAAAAAATAAATAGTTGGACATCTGGAGTTTGATTTCAAGAGATTAAAACAACACAATATCACAAAGGAAAATAAAATGAGGGTGTTCTAATATAATATTTAAATAAAACCTACTGAATTGATGTATTCTTTCAGATGGAGTTAGCATCTTGGATTTCGTCAAGACACAATATGGGGATGACATTTGCCAGAGATTTGTGGAATGAAATCAAGAAGTGTGCCAAAGTAAGGCTATTTTATTATAACCAACCAACCAACCAATTAACTCCCCTTTTGAAAAGTAGGGGGTATGAAGTGATGAGTAGGGTGTCTGTCATGGTATTCATCTGTCTGAATGATCTTAAATTGTCCAAATTATAACTTGGTAATGGAGAAACTTTGACCATGCTGTTCATATTTGCAAGTTCAAAGTCACTGTCAGATAGTTATTTGGGGTTTTCCAAAGCTAAACATAGAGTTTACTATTATACAGGTAGGATGTATAATTTTGTGAACCCACTGATCTAGTAAATCCAGTGTAAATAATACCTAGGAATGGAAAAGGACAAATACTGTAGACAAAGTATTTTAAATGTGTTAGCAGGGTTGTAAATTTGAAACCAAAAAAAATTGTTTGCTCAATCATGTACACAAACTTTTGCTTGTTATTTTTAATAATATCAGTGAGCCTCTATAAGTTGTCTTATCCCTGTGGAACATACTTTGAAAGATCCTAGTTTTAAATGACGTGTTGACAATTTTCAGGAGTTTTGTAACTTTGATGATTACAACTGGGACTGGACTTTACAGCACTTGAGTATGAAGTGTATACCAGGCCAGATTAAATTGCTCAAGATGAAGGCCACAAGAGTGTTCCATATGGGAGAATGGTAAGAAAATTGAAAAATTTTTCTGTCATCTGTTTATCTCTTATAGCAACTTTCCATGTGAAAAATCATGTAAATTGTAAATTTTCACACATTTTGAAAATTGGTTGACTGCAATGTTGCTTCTGAAAAGAAAATCTGAAAGATGAAATCAATATTTTAATAATATTTTAAATGATTTTGCTATGTTTTTCTCTTTCAATTTCAGTGGAGTACATCATAAAGGGAAAAACTGTAATCCACAAGTGAAGAAATCTCAAGTGGAGAACCAGTTAAACCAGAATTTAAAGCACCTGTTTCCTAACGTGGTCAATATAAACGGACAATCACGGTTCAAGTTACGCGACCCAAAACCAAATGGGGGCTGGGGAGATATACGGGACAGAAATCTGTGTCTTAGCTTTGTCAATGGGGGCTAGTTAAGGGAAAGATATTCACAATATTCAGGGAACAATTACAAAGGAGAATGTATGTACATAATACAAAGAAAGGTTCAATTTATAACTGTTTATAGAAAGATGGAAGTTTGAACTCCAGTGCTTTCACTTCAGATGCCTTTCTGGATGATTATGTACTGTGATTTATCATTTTTACTGTGATGTTTTGATACTGGGCATGATGAATATTTAGAGCATTTTTATCATATTGAATTCATTCTTTGAATAATGAGTGAGGCCAATGAAAAAATATGTTTGTGCACTATTACATACTTATTCAAAAATAGGGTTGGTAGATTGGATTTTGTTTTAATTTTTTTCCAGAAAAGCATAATTTTGTCATGCAACAACTTAGAAATTGTCACATTTTTTTATGGAGGATGTAAATACCTGCAATTTTTATAATTTTGCATAAAATAAGGGTTGGTCAGGTAAATAAGCATTTTTTTTTCATGGGCTCATACAAGATATGGCAGATGGTCTCTAGATGTAAAAGTATGTTTGTTAGTGTGTAGATAAAGCATTATGAATAATAGCATTTATTTTTATTCACATTACAAAAAGAACATTTTTTAGCATTTTTATCTTAATGAAATGAAATTGATGGCAAGCAACAATGTCTGGATATTGGTTATGAAATGAAACCTCTTTTTTTAACATACCTATACATTGCGTATTCTTCAGCACACCCAAGTTTATTCCTGGATGTCACTGTACATACCATAAAATTAAATTCATCTATTTTTTTAAATTTAAGTAACTTTTGTATGTTGAAAGAATTGTTTGTCTTCAAAATTTAATCAAAATAATTGTAACATACAAACTATGGGCCAATTATTCCAGCTTTGAGGTTGTCATGGTTTCAAATTTTTACATGGCTGGCTATTATTTAAAACAAAGTTTATAGAAGTTCCAAAGATCTCTGCACCTTTTCACGTTTTCAACGCTATTATTTAAAACAATTTTTATAGGAACACTAAAGATATGTACACCATAGCATTCTTGTGAAACACTTGGGAATTAGGATGGATATAGTTTTTAGATGTAGTTTATTGAACACAACCAAACCAGAGCCCTGAGAATACTGCATTAGCTTGTCTTTTTTTTCTTACAGTTGTTTTAGAGTTACATAGGGCCATCCTTAAAAACTTGTTTGTTTGGAATTGCCACCTGAAGGGTGTCAGACACAGGAGGGAGGGAGGGAAATAATTTTTTTTTTTTAAATTGAAGAAAAATTTTAAATTTTTGATTAAAATCTCAGTAAACAGTAAATACATTTTCTGACTTTTAAAAAAAAAGTATCTACATCAACAACAAAAAAATAATTTTACATGACACTATATTTCAGTGTTTTGTATGGTGCATGTGATACATGTAATGGGCAAAAAATTGATTAAATAAAAAAAAATCTTCCTACTTTTGGTCAGTAAAATTTTTTCAGGAGGGGAGCATTTCAACGAGGCGGGAGGCAATTCCAAACAAACTATAATTCTATTTTGGCCTAGTTATTTTTCTTTGAGGTTCTTCATTTATAGTCTAGATTGTATGGTGTTTTATTATAAAGCCATTGATGCTTCATACAGTTATTCAGTGTTGCAGACACCTGCCTACCTTTGACACCTGAGCGTTTGATATTTCTGTTGTTGTTTGTAGTTACTCTTTGATCTCAATACAGATCTTATCTTAGTTTCTGCACACGTTTTAATATTTCTACATACACACAATGTTAACACACATTAATATTTTGAGATGATTTTCTTAGGAAAATAAATCTTTTGCATATAGATGTATTTTGAAAATTTGTTAATGTTTATTGAATGAAAACATCACTAATATCATCATATTTGTCATTTCATCTGTTATCTTATGAATATATAATGTAATTGATTTGTCATACAAAGGAAAACACATGTATGCCTGAAAGTTATTGTGTAGCCCTTTTCATTGGAGTGGCATTTCTTTTTTTGAGTGTACATGTATGAGAGATATTTTCATGATACAACTGTGCTACTTTATATGTGAAATCCCCCTCCTCTATATTTAGAATGGTAGTGATAGTTGTTTGTGCCTTTGTCATGTCACATTCACCATCTGTGATAAACATTAGATTTCTTTAACATTGTGTGCTAGTTTTATACATATTAAGAATACACAGTTATACTGCGTACTATTGTAGATTTATCTCCTGATCTCTGTTATTTCAGCTTTTACTTCCTTTATTTAGCTTTATATCAAGATTTTTGTGCTCTCGTTTAAATACTTTCACAATTACTCTTTGATGAGGTTAGAATTTGTTATGTAAAGGGGAAAAAGTTATTTCTCTTAGATTCAAATGTGGCAATAAGTTCTGGTTCACTAGTACATGTACTGTATTCTAATTTTGTTCAGCTAAAATAAAGATAACATGTAGACATGAAGATTTGAATGTTGAGTACATCTTCAAGCATTTATTAACTGATTTTTTCATTATATTTTCAGCTACACAAAGCTTATATAATAAAGCTTTATCTTTATCATAAGCATTATTTTTATACAAGGTTATCAGTCAGGGTTAAAGCACCAAATATTTTGAGAGAGTCTTAAAGTAAGCATTTATCTATTGATATATCCATAAATTATTAAATAATGAAGAGATTTATGGAGAGAAATATGTTTTACACAAATATACTATTAAATTCAGCATTTTGATCATAGATTATTGGCCTTTAGCTTTAAAATTGTGAGTTTTCTAGTCACAAAATATTTTCCAAAGAAAAGATTCTCATTCTTTAAATGAAATTTTTGATAATGCTTAATCCTTTTTTTTTCTCACTTGAACCACTAGAATATTTTATAATGTTTCTTAATTGATTAATGTAGATTTGTTTGATCTTGGTCATTATAAACTGCAGGTTGCCTTAAAGATGTTGATATGAATTTCTTATATGCCTTGTAGTCGGATAAATAACAGAAAAAAAAAAATGTTTTCTTTTAAAAAAAATAATTTCTTGAAATTAAAGAAGTATGTATTACCCTAGTTTAGTAAAGAGAGTGAATGCCTTATGTTATCTTCATTTTATTGTGATAAGTCCATCCATCAAACGTAGATTGAAATAAATTTTTAATATATAAAATTGGGACCAGTGCAAGTATATGTAGTTTGATTACACTTTGAACAGTTAAGAACAGGTTATCAGATAATGGTAGCGTGAAAGTTTTATTGTGTGAAAAGTTGTTTTGTTTTGTGACAAGTTTCTGTCATAATTCTTTTTATATGTGTACACGAACATTTATATACATGTACATGTAGGTAGGCATGTAGAATTTTATTTTTTATTGTGAATACCTCTTCCTCTTTGATCACTGTTTCTTTATTTTTTTTTTCTTCACGGGAAATCTTAAGGGAACATTTTTTGGCAAAAACATATAAATTAGTGGAGTACAGTTCTTGTTATTAACTTGCGATAATATAGAAAACATCGTTCTTCATTCAGGGCATTGCAGTATTTCTGTAGTTATGCACACCAAATACAGACTTGCACCAATGACAGTGAAAATGCTTTATAAATCTATCACATATTCACAATACACCATTCATGTTATCAAGGTTTTAAGTATATTCATCTGTATCATTCATGTAATCAAATTATATCAATGTATATGGTTCAATAATTCAATTGTGATAATGATTGCATAATGATTCTGTGTTCTTGTTAATTTATTGAATAAAAAAATTCTTTGTACATGAAAACAGTGTTCAAAAATGTGGTAAAATATTTTTAAACAAACTTGGATGTGATTAGAACAATTTAGCAGCCACTGTAAATGTTATCCTTGCATTAAAATGGTGCATAAAGATAAATAAAAAAAAAATTGCCATGCAGAGTTGAGCCTAAAAAAATTTCATTTTCAAGCTTCATTTTCATGCATTTCAAATTAAAAATTTAGTTTTTGGAGTTATCCAATTTTAACCTGTCTTCACTACCCCAGGATGCTTCACATTTTATGATCCAGTTTTTTGAAAGAAGATTTTTAAAGTTTGTTCATATATTTCTATGTAAAACTTGGATTGCCGTGGCCCCGTAAATGATTTGAACAATTTAGAATGACATGGGATTATAAGCTTCATTTTCTGGCCCAGTGGTTCTTGAGAAGTTTTTTAAGTTTGTTCATATATATATTTCTATGTAAAACTTGGATTCTCTGTGGCCCCGCCCAAAATGATTTGAACAATTTAGAATCTACACTACCCCAGGATGCTTCCATATAAGCTTCAGCTTTTCTACTTGGTTGAGAATTTTATTATAAAAGGCTCAAAAGCTAATGCTATTTTGTGCGGTGTGCGTTAACTTTTTAAGCCATAACTCAAGATTGGCCAATCAGTGTCAAATTTGTCACAGGGTATCCTTGGCCCAAGGGCTACCCTTTATACTAAAATAAGGTTTGGGACCCTTAAACAAGGGGAGATAATTACTGGTTGCTAAAAAATCTTCTCCAGAACCACCAGGCAGATTTTCACCAAAATAATATTTTCCAAGGCATGAAAAGACTCTCATCACTTCTTGACCTAAATGAAATAATTGAAACGTTTATATTTTGCTTACTATTAGGACTAATCCTTTTTTTGATTTCACTTGAACACTACTCAAAAGTATTTTACTTTTCTTTTGTGGGCATGTTTTCAAGTTGATTTGAATGCAGATTTGTTTGATATAGGTCATTATAAACTGCAGTTTGCCTTAAAGATATTGATATGAATTTCTTGTATACCTTGTAGTCTGATAAATATCAACAGATAAAAACTATTCATATGTTTTATTTAAAGAAAAAAATTATTTCTTGAATTTTAAAAGTATGTGTTACACCTAGTTAAGTAAAGAGAGTGAATGCCTTATGTTATGTTCATATTATTGTGATAAGTCCATCCATCAAAAATAGATTGAAAAAAAATGTTAATATATAAAATTGGGACCAGTGCAAGTATATGTAGTTTGTATACACTTTGAACAGTTAAGAACAGGTTATCAGATAAGAAAATGGTAAACGCAAAAAAGACTGAAAGTTTTAATGTGTGAAGAAGTTGTTTTGTTTGTGTGACAAGTACCAAAACACAAGATATAGGTAATAATTCTTTTTATATTTTTAGTTTACAATCAACATTTAAAAAATGTAGAATTTTTTTTTTTATTGTTTTTGAGAATATAAAGCTCAAACTTCTACTTTGATCACTGTTTCTTTAATCAGATTTTTTTCTTCACTAGGAAATTATTGGAATGTGAACATTTTTTGGAAAAAACAATTTGATAAATTTGGTATATCAGAAAGTTTCTAAAAATTCCTGTTCATGTACATTAATGTATTTTATTAACTTGCTACATCAGTGTTAAAATAGCACATTGAACAGCTGTTGAAGATTTGTGCATTCAGGGCATTGCATATTTTTTTCTGTAGAGAAGCTTTTTTATGCACTATCCAAATACATAAAACATTGCACCAATGACATTGAAAATGCTTTATAAAAAGTCTATCAAATATTCACAATACACCATTCATATTATCAAGGTTTTAAGTATATTCATCTGTATCATTCATGTAATCAAATTATATCAATGTATATGGTTCAATAATTCAATTGTGATAATGATTGCATAATGATTCTGTGTTCTTGTTAATTTATTGAATAAAAAAATTCTTTGTACATGAAAACAGTGTTCAGTATGTTAAATGTTATAGATATTTTAATCTTAGGTATTTATTGGCTTAGAAATCAAACTTTGTGAGTGTGTATTGCAATATATAGGTCACGGTAACAATTTTATGGCAGCCACTGTAAATGTTATCCTTGCATTAAAAAGTGGTCACTGTAGTATTTTAGGATTTTTGGCTTAAAATCATCAAACTTTGTGAGCCATGGGGTTAGAGTTGGTCAGCCTAACTTTTATGGAATATTGGAAAACCTTTGTAATTTGATGCACTTTTCCAAGAAGCTGCCCATGGGCCACATCGCTCACCTATATTGAGTAGCATTGGTGATGCGTCTTGGGTTCTTTACCCAATTTCCCCATTGTTTATTTACCTTAGTATGGCTTAGAATCATCAAACTTTGTAAGTTGATGCATCCCCCGGGGTCACAATTTGTAACAATTTAGGTCATCTTAATTTTTGACCCCAGGATTTATTGCTTCATCAACAACTTTGTGAGTTTGCAGCTTTTATGACCACAGTGGTTTTTGACAGAATGGCTTTATTTAAGTGTGTTAGGTATTTATTTCTATGTAAAACTTGGATTCTTTATTGTGGCCCCACCCAGGTCACAGTGACCTAATTTTTGACATTTTGTGGCTTTATCAAGTTTTATGGTACAACTGGTTAGAATCACTAAACTTTGTTTGTTGATGCATCTTTGGTTTTTAGGATGCTTCCAAAGTAGGTCATGGTGACCTACTTTTGAATATCTCAGGTACTTTTTGAATCATCAGTTTGTCAGAAGATTTTTTTCAAAGTTTGTTCCTATATATTTCTATGTAAAACTTATTGGCTTAGAATCTTCAATCTTTGTTTATTAATGCATCTTGAGTCCTCAGAAAACTTCCGTAATACAGGTCACTGTGATGTACTTATGGTTTTTTATAGCTTTATTATTAAAAATATTTTCAGTCCTAATTGGCTAAGAATGCATCAAACTTTGTCAGTTGATACAACTTGGGTCTTAGGATACTTAAGGTTAGAGGCTTCAGTGGATTGTACAATTTATCAGAAGAGCGATTCAAGGCCCTTGGGCCTCTTGTTAAAGTTTGTTCCTATATATTTCTATGTAAAACTTGGATTCTTTATTGTGGCCCCACCCAACCCCAGAGGGATCACAATTTTAACAATTTAGAATCTTCACTACCCCAGGATGCTTCCACATAAGTTTCAGCTTTCCTGGCCCAGTGGTTCTTGAGAAGAAGATTTTTAAAGTTTGTTCCTATATATTTCTATGTAAAACTTGGATTCTCTATTGTGGCCCCGTCCAACCCTCGGGGGTCATGATTTGAACAATTTAGAATCTACACTACCCCAGGATGCTTCCATATAAGCTTCAGCTTTTCTGGCCCAGTGGTTCTTGAGAAGAAGATTTTTAAAGTTTGTTCCTATATATTTCTAGGTAAAACTTGGATTCCCTACTGTGGCCCCACCCAACCCCCGGGGGTCATGATTTGAACAATTTAGATTCTACACTACCCCACGATGCTTCATCATAAGTTTCAGGTTTTATGGCCCAGTGGTTCTTAAGAAGATTTTTAAAGTTTGTTCCTATATGTTTCTTTGTAAAACTTGGATTCCCTATTGCGGCCCCACCCAACCCCCGGGGGTCATGATTTGAATAATTTAGAATCTACACTACCCCAGGTTGCTCCCACTTAAGTTTTAGCTTTTCTGGCCCAGTGGTTCTTGAGAAGATTTTTAATGACCCCATCCTATTTTTGTATTTTCTTTATTATCTCCCCTTGTTAGGGGTCTTGGCCCTTTATTTTAACAATTTAAAATCCCCTTTACCTAAGGATGCTTTGTACCAAGTTTGGTTAAAATTGGCCCAGTGATTCTTGAGAAGAAGTCAAAAATGTGAAAAGTTAACAGATGGAAGGACGACGGACAAAATGTGATCAGAAAAGCTCACTTGAGCCTTCGGCTCAGGTGAGCTAAAAATACCGTAAAACACACATACAACAAAGTACCGGGGATGGACAATTTTGCTTGGCCATAAGTATACTTCACTATCCATTAAATTAGTATGTTTAAAACCCGAGATGAATGAAAATCACTTTGCTATAAGCATCAATTCATTATAAGCATGTTTTACTGTATAATGGACAAAGCTTTAGTAAACTGATGTTGACAATCAAACCTGCCCACTGGGATCAAATCCTTTTTCTTGTCCATTGCGTTTTTCTCCACACCTGTTGCAATGCTATCTAACTGGTATTACACACAGCCTATTATACAGCCTGTCTTCTTGGGAAGTCCTACATGAGAAGAACTTGTAAGTTGCAAGAACTTGTTTCTGACCCTTTTGTGTTAAACAATAAAATATGTTCAAATCAAATCCTACATGTATAAGAATAAAATTATGTTCTTAAAAATAAATGGTGAACCAAACAGAAAATGACAAGAAAAACAAGAAATTTACAACGAAACTTTTATTACAGTAAACATTGTGATACCACATAAACAGTTTTCGTCAAGATCATTAATATATCATGCACATAACAAAACAATGGAGTAACCTAAAATGCAAAAAGCATTAAATGATATCACTAATATACAGGTTTACAACTACAATAACAATAAGCCAGTATTTGTTCACATTCTGTTTGCTCATATGGAAATAAGATCCTCAGATGTCCATATCAAAGGTCGTACTGTCTTGGTGTTTTTATTTTCCTTGTCCTGGTGGCAGAGTTAGGAGGCAGTACAGGTTTTGGGGTGGGTGTGTACGAAGTGACAGACGGGGTGGTAGATTTAGGGGAGGGGCGTGCAGAGGGTGAGGTGGGAGACACAGTCACCAGGGTGGTGGAGCCTTTGTGTTCACTTTCAATGGTCTTGAAGTGATAAGCAAGCACTGACTGGGGTGATACAGAAGATATGGAGACTGTAGAACTCGTCCTCTGGATTACTGGGCTGGACTCCAGCAGGGAGGAGACCTTCCCGAGGGTCTCTGTTGTGGTGGGGATGATGGTGGGGGATTTTGATGTTTTGTAGATGGTGGGC